TAGAAGGTCACCAGCAGTTTCTCATTCAGTTGTTGTTTTCTGAGAAGCCTCAGGTAGTATAATCTCTGCTGGGCCCTTTTGACCAGGGCTGCAATGTGGGCACCCCAGGTCAGTTCCTCTTCTAGGGTAATACCCAGAAACTTAAAACTGGCCACTTGCTCCACTCAGTCTCCACTGATAAGCAAGGGCTGGATGTCTGATCTGTTCCTTCTATAATCCACCATAAGCTCCTTGGTCTTATTGGTGTTGAGGACCAAGTTATTGTCTCCACACCAGGAAAGCAACCAGTCCACCTCATCTCAGTAGGCAGACTCATCCCCCCCGGAGATAAGTCCCACCACTGTTGTATCATCTGCAAATTTAGCAATAGTATTACTAGCGTGAGTGGGAATGCAGTCATGCACATAAAGAGTATAGAGTAAGGGACTCAACACGCAACCCTGTGGTGTACCAGTGTTAAGAATAAGGACTGAAGAAGTATGATTACTTAATCTGACCCTCTGTGAGCGGCCAGACAGGAAATCCATAATCCAAAGGCAGATTGAATTAGAAAGCCCAAGGTCCAGAAGTTTAGACACTAGTCCATGTGGAAGAATTGTGTTAAACGCAGAACTAAAATCCACAAAAAGCATCCTCACATAGCGCTCCCATTGTTCTAGATGAGCCAGAGCAGTGTGAAGAGTGATGGCTATAGCATCCTCTGTAGATCTATTTTTTTCTGTATGCAAACTGGTGTTTATCAAATGTATGCTGAAGACCAGAAATGATGTGCCGGCAGACCAATTTCTCAAAGCACTTCATGATGATAGGAGTGAGTGCCACTGGTCTGTAATTATTGAGGTTATTGATAGGGAACTTCTTTGGCAGTGGAACAATGGTGGAAGCCTTCAAACAAGATGGAATAGTGGACTGGGATAAAGACCGATTGAAGATCCTTGTCAAGACTCCAGCCAACTGATCAGCACAGTCTTTAAGCACTCGGCCAAAGATACCATCAGGACTGGCAGCCTTTCTAGGATCCACAGCCCTCAGAATGCTCCTCACCTCCTGTTTTTCCACAATGAAGTGGGGGCTACAATTGGCTGGTAGTTGTGTTTTATCTGTCTCTGATGTCTCCACTTCAAAGCCAGCAAAGAAATAATTCGGTTCCTCTGCCAAAGAAGCATCCCCCTCAGCAGGGATGACATTAGTCAGTTGATGGTTTGTAATTTGTTGAATCCCTCGCCACACCTGCCTCACGTTATTGCTATAAAAATTATCCTCAATCTTCCTCTTATAATCAGTCTTGGCCTTCTGAATACCTTTCTTCAGATTAGTTCTGGCAACACTGTATCTTGTCCCATCTCTGGACCTAAAGGCCTTGGTCCTGTCATGCAAGAGGCGCTTGGTCATCCAGGGTCTCTGATTGGGATAGATCCTAATATGTTTATCCACAGTGATAGTATCTGTGCAGTGTTTGATATAGCATAGAACAGCTGTAGTGTGCACCTCTAGGTCAGGGTGCTAGGAGATGTCCCAATTTGTGTTCTCAAAACAATCCTGAAGTTGTTGGGAAGCATCTTCTGGCCAAGATTTCACTGTCTTTATTATAGGCAGAGCCCGTCTCCTAAGAGGGATGTATGCTAGTGCTAAAAGCAGTGACATATGGTTGTCCCATATGTGGTAATTTTATAACCTTATAGCCATGTTTGATATTGGTATATACTTTGTCCAATATGTTTGCTCCTCTAGTAGCACACTTAACATGCTGATAGAATTTAGGGAGCACTTCTTTTAAATCGGCTTGATTAAAGTCCACCGCTATGATATGCACAGCATCAGGATACTTATTCTGCTGATTACTAACAATGTTATACAAGAATCCCAAAGCTATGGTAGTATTGGCATCAGGTGGGATATAGAGTGCAGTAATCAAAACCATGCTGAATTCCCTCAGAAGATATATGGGTCTACATTTAAGAGTCATATACTCCAGATCCATGGAGCAGTGGCTGTCTACAGTATTTGTATTGATACACCAGCTTTTGTTTATTGGACATTAATACAATTGAGTGAGTCCAGAAGTATTTCACAAGAAGAGTACTACACTCCTCTGCTCGCAACAGAATACCCTATGTCACTAGGCTTGAGATTTTGGGCTTGGACAACCTTGAATTACCCTGCCTATAGTTGGACTTAAGCGTAGTACACAAAATTATCTGCTACAATGTCCTACCAGTCAATGACTACTTCAGCTTCAACCACAACAATACAAGAACACACAACAGATACAAACTCAATGTAAACCGCTTCAAACTCAATTGCAGAAAGTACGACTTCAGCAACAGAGTGGTCAATGCCTGGAATGCATTACTTTACTCTGTTGTTACATCCTCTAACCCCCACTCCTTTAACCTCAAACTATCCACTATTGACCTCACCCCATTCCTAAGAGGTCTGTAAGGGGCGTGCATAAGTGCACAATCGTGCCTACCGTCCCTGTCCTTTTCTCTCCATTTATTCATACCTATTTCCTGTATTCTTACTCATGTTTGTACTTTTACCTTTTACCTTTTACGCGATTGACAAATCAAATAAATAAATAAATATCAACTAGAAAAGATTATTGAAGAAAACCTGTGCCATTATGGATTCTATCCTAGAGCATACCTGGCTGTAAGACAGGACATTCTCAGCAAAAAAGATTCTTCCTGTAGAAGCATAGTAAATTACTTTTGAGGATACCATTAGGAAATTATATTTTTTCAAACTGGCAAGGTCAGTAAATAGTATGTGAAATTTTTCATTGCTATAATTTCATATTCCATCATCAGTCATCTTCCAAGTCAGATTTAGGAAAATCAGCTACATAGAAAGGATTTGTCCATATGCCCCAGGCCCATTTCTTAGAATTTAGCTTTTAGAAATTCTTTGTTGGAACCCCTATTTCAAATAATCCTTGGGGTCTTGATAAATTTCATTTTCAATATCTTATATTGAACAAATATCAACTCCAAAAAACCATACACTATGGCTAAACTTGAATTATTAGCATGCAAAACTTACTGCAGTTAGTTAACATATAATAAGTCTAGCTAGGAGTAGCCATATTTCACTGCTACATTTGCATTTATTCTGTTCTTTTTATGGTACACTGCTTTATATTTTGTTTGGGTGTAAGATTGTAAATAACATTTGATTAAAATTTTATTTAAGCTCATTTTTTTCTTTTCCAGGGAAATCAGAATCACTCTAATTAGACTTGCTATAAATGTGACAAATGTAGAAATCATAGCTGATACATACGATGGGCAGTACTGACAAACATAGAAGTAGTTGTATGCAGATGAAGGACAATAGTTAACAGCACAACCAATACGGTAACTGTTGTACCAAACTATCTGTAGATACAAAAATATATACACAGGTTAATATCCTAGAAGCTTAATATTGATAATAAATATATGGCCTTCAGAGGAGCATGTAAGAAAAAAAATCCAGATGCGAGCATGTTGCAGTATATACTGCATACCACAATAACAATGAGTGTACAAAGAACTTCTCCAATCATTTCATATAAAAGTTTGCCAAAGCAAATAAATATTAGAACAAATAAGGTTTCATCCTCTGTGCTTTAAATGTATATATTTAAAATGAAAAAAAAACCCACGAAACTGTTTCATCCTGAACTTTATAGACCATCTCTTTCTAAAGTGCCCCACCACATCCAAAGCAGTCTACGTGTCAAGAGTTATGACCAGCAAGCTAGTTCTTCCTTCCCAGCTGCATGAAAGCCAAGATCTGAATCGGCAGCTATTTTTGAATAACAAATAATACATTTAGTATTTTGCAATCCTTCATTTACTCCCTATCAGTACTTAAAAAACAAAACAGTGCAACATTTAACCAAGTCTAGTTTTTCCTTTTCCTTAACATGCACTGGGACTACGGCTTTTAGCCAAGATCCTCCTGTGCTCAGGCCTATGGATTTATTTAGTGATTGCAATGACACAGTTGCTTGGTTTTCTTGACCACAGTACAGAAAAATGTTCTGCTATTAATTTTTTGTGGGATGTTTTCTCAATTTTTCAGTCTAGCCTCAAGCAATGATTTTCCTATGTAACAACCAGGCCTAGCCTAGCTTAGTGATTCAGGATCAGCCATGGATTTAAGCTTAACTCAAGGGAATCTGCCATTTTTTATCTCACTCATTTTTGTGGATTTATACTTGGTGAACATAGAAATGGCAAAGATATAAAAAGTACTACCTGAGTATAATGGCCAATAAGGGAACCTGGTGGGTTTGCTCCAATGTCATAGGTGAAATATTTGTATTCATCATACAAAGACTGAATTGCTCTACTCCATGCATGAGGGTGACTTGACTTGTATAGATTTTCACCACATTGTATTCCTTCTAAAAGTGGATAGGGTTAAAAAAAAGCAGCAGCAAGAAAACACAGGTGAATACATGTTTTGAAAGAAGCAAAAGGACAGCAGAAAGGAGATAGCTGAGCATTACTTATTGCTCCAGAGATACTGAGGCAATCATCTTGCTAAACTATTGGAAAGGAAAATGAACATTTTGTACCCCGATTTCTTACTGTAATGCTTTGCAGAACCTTTAGTTGTTCAAAGTAGTTATCAATTGTTTTCTGATGAGAATTTAAAAACAATACAGTTTATTGAGAAGTAAATTAGAACCCAGATGTCCTATTTTTTGGGTACATCTGTATGTTAATACATAGTGTGGTATTGAGATTAGGGAGATTCAGTTTTAATTCTCCAATGACTATGGAAATCTCTGAACATCTTTGGGCTCAGCAGCTACCATCAGTTGTGGTGAGAACAACATCTTTAGCAACTTGGGGAGATGGTAGTCTATAGATGTAGTAATGTATAATATAAAAAAGAAATCAAAAAATCATTGTTCAAATACCATTTTTCCTGCAAAGTCATGGGGGGTGGGGATTAAGAAAATTATTACTGTCTTAATCCTTCTACCACCCAAGGGAGGATTCATAAGTATTACTTCTGCTAATATTTAAGAGCAAGATTATAAGTGCTATTTAATGTGAAATATACTATTAATCCTCTAACCAGTGAAAGCTATACTATGCTTTTATACTATGACTTACCAAGAACTCTCAAAGAGTTTGGACTGTGATGAAGACTACAGTTATTGACCCAACGTTCTGCACTTGAAGCAGCTTCAGGATACCATTCCTGAATAAGAACAGAAGTGAACAGCAACAATCAATCAATGAAAGAGGCACAATTTAAAATTGCAGAAAGTATCTGTCTGATCCTTTTTTTACTGCCTTTTGACTTCCTTCAAATCGTGTATTCGGAAGTTACAGCGATATTCTCTAAAACAGGGTTCTCCAACCTTGGCAACTTTAAGCCTGGCGGACTTCAACTCCCAGAATGCCCCATGCAGGAAAGCCCATTGCCTATGGCCTCCTAAATGTAGCTCCCTAAATGGAACCCACACAGTGCCCTCTCTGCTAGATATGGTGAGACAGGAAGATGTAATTGGGGAGAGGCTGTTTCTCCAATAA